GTGTTGAGGTTAACTTGTAAAGTTGTTTTGAAGAAATATATTCAGTTAATTTGCCAGATATTGGAGCTTCAGATGTATTTCTTATGGAACTAATAATATAATGTAATCTTCATCTTCCTAACACATACTTTTCGTGATCCTATGCATTTAAAATTGATGGACTAAGACACTATTTAAATGTGGACAATGTTGAATAATGCTCTTTTTTCCAACTTGGTCATTTTACGACATTCAACAAACAAACTTTGCTTTATGGTGAACATAATTATATATAACCATTTTCAATTCATTTTGTCATAATTTTGTTTTCCGTGGAGATAAACATAAACAAAATGACAAGAAAATTATGATATTTTTAAAGAACTTGTTTATTTACAATTAAAACGAAAATCAAAATACACTTATTGATTATAGCACCACATAAAAAGTATGTTTAGTCCCAATAATGAGACCAGTAAGCTAATATTTTCTTGTATACACAGTTATTTAAAATAAAAATTATGACACGTCTGTAAAAAATAAAAATCTATATAAAATATTTGTAAAGTTTCGGGGAAAGCAATTAATATAAAATCAGAATTATAATTAAAAGTTCTGTTATGAATTATATAATTGTTATGAATTATATTAATGTAAATATACTCTGCAATATAAAGTGATATACACCTTGTAAGAAAGGTAACGTAAAAATGCTTTATATCATATCATAGAAGCTCTACACTATCATCATGTCTTAGAGCTGTTTACTTTAGTTGTCAAACCTCTAGAACCAGAAAGAAATAGTTATGACTTTCACTGGATGATTCTGAAAGCAGATTTGCTCATTGTTTTTACTTGCGGTAATTGCAAAAAGAAATAGAAAAATAAAATAACCTAAAGGTTCACTTTTAAGTGTGTTTGTTAACAAGATAATTATAAAAATTATATAAAAGATGGATTTTAAACAAACACGTCAAAAATATATAGTAACATTAACATGATCATTTTGTTTACAGAATTTTTTAAGTAAATTTAAATAGTTAAGAATCTTTTATTTCTCAGAGTTTTTCAATAACACAATTGAGTTTAAACAACAGAATGACGATGGCTTTTCATAAAAGTAAAATAAGCTAATCTAAACTGTAATTTATCACTTCATGTTTGCACTCTTTATGTTATTGAAATATTGAACGTTTTTGAAACAATTTAAATACAGCCAAGTTTGTCTTTGTTTATGCTTTCAGAAGGAAGCCGAGTTTAACTCGTCCATTAGAGCCAATACATTTATGTAGCCCTTTTCCTCTTCCATTGTAATTTCAATATTTTCATACAGGTTTATATTGGTTCTGTTACTTGTCTGTGATGTCGATGTATGTATAGGCTGCTCCTCTATTAAAATGTTTCTGTCAGATTTATCATCCTCTGTACTAGAGTAAAATTGATTCTATAATTAATCTTCAAAGCACATTTCTTTGCAACATAAACTATCAAGAGTGCAATCAACTTAACAAAAATACATTACATAACATCTAATAAGGAATTACAAATTTATAAGCTATTACTTACAGCCAATGAAAACTGAACCAAAATGATCTTGTAAATGAACTCAAACATTATTGATTATGATTGCACCAGTATATTACAGACATTCTTCTAGAAATGTATTACATTGCCATATGAAAGTTTAATAAACTATGATATTCTAAATAAAATAAGGGAGTGTTGACATAATGGTCCAGATCTCCGCCTCTCAACCGAGGAATAGTGGGCTCAAGCCCGTCCATGTTGATTGTTGAACACATATTCTTTGTGAATAATTTTATTAGTTGATTTACCCTAAAATGACAATTTATCAATCACTTGTGCAAGAGGCACGTGGAACCATTTCATAACCATAATCAAAGCATTGTGCAATGTTGGGACGTACACAAGTCATTGCAATGAATTCGAACATTTGGAATACTTCAATTTGATCCATACATAGACTTAGACTGTCAATAAGCAGTTAGCAGTAGGCAGTGAGCAGCAGGCTGTCCAGTTAGCAGTAGGCAGTGAGCAGTAGGCTGTCGTTTATGGAATTCCGTAGTATATAATGCTGTCTGATATGCAAGAAACAAACTTCATAATACTGCACGTTTGTAACGTCGTTGTTCATTGAAAAATCACAAAGGTTATATAGCTTTATATACACGGATGCTGTCAATTTGTGAAGAAATCATTTTTTTTCTATTTAAAAAAGATGCTTGCTGTATTATAGATTTGTTTTGAAGCTTTTTACGGGTTATATGGTCGTATATAAACGATTGGAACAAAACCTTAGCTTAACGGCAACAAACGGCCATATAACCTGTCAAAAATCTTTATAACTGATATTATATGTTATTTTTGTTTTCGAGTGATATATGTGGATATATTACCTGGCAAGATTTTATATCACCCGAGCCGTTAGGCGAGGGTGATATTTTATCTTGGCAGGTAATATATCCACATATATCACTCCAAAACCAAAATAACAATTTTATTACCCTTCCCATGCCGAGTATGATTTTAAAATAAAGCATTGCTGTTTCAATTGAAACGTCGAAATAAGATTCCCTTTGGGGTACCTCTTCACCACAACATGACGTCACATAAATACATGACGTATTTGCTTTCGTACCTAACGAATGTAAACAAGAGAAAATGAGTAGTCTGTTAAAGAAACTTTTTTGTAATTAATATCAAGTATTGGCAAGGCCATTTTTGTTTTCAATACTGATGAGAATATTTATCATTACATTCTTTTGGCAAATAATTTTTATTTGACATTTTAAAAGTGCTTGTATATCGGAATTCATACCGCGTAAAATCGAACCGTACGCGCATCGCCACAACGCATGTTGTTTACAACGTGGGGTACCCAACGGGTATATTTAGTGTGTATATTACCCGTCTGGCTCGGTAATATCAATTTTTTTCGACGGATCAATATCCAATCAAAAAGGTGGAAAATAATCTGGAAGGGTAATAATATAATACTGCACGACGAAACAATTGTGCAGTATTATAAAGACAAAAAGGCTATATTAAAGACGTTCGACATGTATTCTTGAAGAGTGGCATGATGTTAGAATATGATAAACATTTCAAGCCAAAACACTTAGGCGTCATCGATCTCTTTTTCTGCACATGATTTTTTTTTATTATTTATTTAACACTAAGCGACCATGTACTGAATTGGTGTTCTCAGTATTGTAATATAACACAGTGACATTCAACACTGAGATCGTTTTTCATATCAATTAGTATGTTCTGTTAATCTTTACGGATTTTTTTTATATGTTTGTTGTTAAATTAAGTTCCAGGTTTAACGTAAACTATTCTACCAAAGGAGTTACAATTGAGAGACATCTATGTCCATAAATAATAATATCGTTTTAAATAAACTAAAAACACGTTTCTCTGATGTCAAAGTAAGAGAAGTGTTGTACTCTATTGAAAAAAGAGTTATGTTAAGTAAACCCTCATAATAGACAATAATTGTATCATACAATACAATCATATTACAATACAGTATGATAGACTTGTATAGAGTAGTGGATCAGCATATACTAATATACTAAGTGTTCTATCCCATAAGTCAAATTATGGAATAAATACTTTTCTGTAGATCTATACAATAAATATTTTTAATTATACAATATTTTCAAATATAGAACATACATTGTACATATAGAAAATTATCGCACACAAATATTTTTATGATGAAAAAATATTCAGCAATATTGGATAAATGTTATGGTATAGAATATAACAATATAAATATTGAATATAGAATAACAATCTCATTTATTGAATATTGCAACATTTAAAATGCCATATTATTCAGAGAAAACTGCTAGTAATTTGATAATGACGTTCATTGTACCGATCAAGGGGAACGATTCTGTGTCTTAGCTTTCGTCAAATATTATAACGACAAATAAATTAAATTATTTATAAAAAGAAATACCTAAAGCACCTTTCATCAAGTGTATAAACATTTGAAGAATACACTTGATAATCGGCCCTGAATATTTGATTATATTTCCCAGTGAATATTACTAATTAAATCAAAAAGGAAAGAACCCATGATTACAAGTCTAGCTACCAATGAGTTTATGGCTCCAGGCCAGAATATATAGAGGATATTTATTTAGTTCAGTGCAAGATAGTGGAATATTTTTTACCGAGTGAGCACCAGAAGGTAGATAAATATGAACTTTTGGTGTTCACGAGGTGAAATATATTTCAATTTTACACTAAACTAAACAAAAAGTTTCTTTCTATTATATGCAATTTTTAAAAAACCGTTTGAACCTTATGCTAAATTAAAAGCGCTCCATATATGACGTCACGTCAGTAAGTTGGTTTCCAGTAATGTGCACGCTGGTATTTCACTGGAATAATGTAATGGGTTTAAATTCAAAACAGTGAAAATTATGAAATTGATAATTTCACTGTTTTAAAAAGTGAATTATCAGTTCCTTTTTTTCACTAATATATTTCTATAAACTACCGAAAAGCATGTATAAACATTCATATCAAGTCCACAAAAAACCGTCACAAATGACGTCACATTTGATATTATCAAATCAAGCAAGTGAAACAGGGTTTTTTCAATACTTAAATTTGACTTAATGATTACCTTAAATGATTAACCTTCTTTGTATAAACACTGAGCACTATACTAAAACGCAAAACGAAAAATGAAATAGTATTAAACAATGATCTTACAACGATCTTACTCTATATGGATATACCAATAATGGGAAGCAATCTTTGTCTGATTTGCAGAGGGGCTCTTAAATTAGTATATGTCATGATAGAAATATTAAAGTTATTGAAAATAAGGATTCTATCGAAAAAGTTTGAAAGGCCTTTATAGACGTCAGAGACAATATACCATATAAAGATCTTATTTATAATACTAAGGTCCTACTCAGCCGTTAAACAAACAATTTAATCATGTTTTAATATCAATAGTGCATCTTATTTACAGGTCTGACACCATTATAGAGAAGAGTTAATTTATTATATTGTCCGGTCATGGCTGCTCTTGTACCTGGTACATCATCTCCGCCAGAGGCATCAGACGATAATGATCTCTTATTTTGTCTACAAACACTTTTCCTTGAATGCGTGCATACGGCTTTAGCAAATTATGTCGATCAGACTCTTGCAGCTGAATCCTCTACATTGGCTGGAGAAAATAATGATATCTATAATTTATATCGTCAAAAAGTAATAACAGAGAGCCAATATAATTTGTTGAGTGGCAATGTATCCACTTCTGATTTGGACATCACGCTTATCATTTGTCTCATTACACACCTAACATGTTTCCAGCCTAGAAATATAATAAAAAGGTTAAGGAACATTTTCCGAAAACAAAGTTATACGACCTTCAAGGGAGATATTTGTAGACTGCAGGATTTTTGGAATGAAGTAAGTTTTTAAAGTTGTTTTTTTTTTTTTTTTTGTTTATTTTCAAATATCATGTAAAACTGTGCAACATTTTACCAGAAGTCTACTCACGTTTTACACTATATCTCATAATTAAATGTTGTAATGTACGGAGCCCCTAAGGTGACATTTTCGAGACATTTTTTCCCGGCATTTAATTCTCTTTTACGAAATATTAATTCGTTTTTACGAAATATTAATTCGTTTTTACGAAATATTTATTCGTTTTGAGCAAATAATAATTCGTTTTTACGAAATATCAATTCGTAATTGCGAAATAATAATTCGTAATTTCGAAATACAAATTCGTTTTTACGAAATAATAATTTGTTTATACGAAATATTTTATCGTTTTTACGAAATATTAATGCGTTTTACAAAATCTTATTTTAGGTCATTGTGAGCTTGACAAAAAACTTACTAATCTCTCAAAAGGGTCAATTACAAGCCTGCATCAACCTTGCAATTAAAGCCGAATGGTACTCAAGTTATTATATCTAAGTGAATAGAGTTTTTGAGTGAGACCAAAATATTCTCTTTACCCCCATTGTCAAATTCATGTTCTTGTCAGCAATGTTTTCATTTGTGAGGCAATAAATATTTTCTGACATATTTCTTTAAAAAAGTAACATTCTATATTAACTATCTTTTATCATATACATTAGTAAAACTAAAAGGGGGTCTCCAGATTTTCACAAATCTTATTAATTTAAAAAGTTTATTTCCTTGCAATTTATGTATGGGCACCGTGCGATCATAAAAACATAATATTGTATTTCAAAACTCAATAATATCGACGAAACGAAACAGAAAAATTGTCCGTGTTTGGATTTAAAGCACAGGGCCCTCATTTTAACAAAATTTTCCTAGTGCTGTAGAGCAATGCTTTATGATGACAGGCGATTATTTTAATTTATATACAAAGGTATTAAGTTATAAAACTTGGGGAGAAAAAATATCACTATTTATATTGCATTTACATGCCTTATATTTAGTCATGAACTTAGTTTCATGGCCTTCTTTTTTTAAATATTACCAAAACCCTAGATAAAAATTTAATTCGTTTTTATGAATTATTTTTTCGTAACTACGAAATAACATTTCGTTTTATATTTCGTAATTATTATTTCGTAATTACGAAATATCATTTGGTTTTTACGAATAAATATTTCCTAATTACGAAATAATATTTCGTTATTACGAAATAATATTTCGTAAAAACGAATTAATATTTCGTACAAAACAAATTAATATTTCGTTAAAGCGAATTAATTTTTCGTATTTACGAAATAATATTTCCTAAATACGAATTAATATTTCGTATTTAGGAAATAATATTTCCTAAATACGAATTAATATTTCGTAACTACAAATAAATATTTCGTAATTATGAATTATTATTCCGTAACAACGAATTAAGTTCCGGGAAAAAGTGTGGAAAATGTCACCTTAGGGGCTCCGTAGTAATGACATATCAGTACATCGTATGAAATTTTGGATATATTCGTATAAGCTTTTGTGATGTAAGAGAAGTTTAAATTTTATAAGTGTCAGTTATCCAATTAGGACAAAACAATTCTTTTTCGAAATCCCGGGAATTCGTACGCGATATTTTAAAACTGTTTTACATATTGTTATGAACTGTTGAACACTAAAAATATATTCAATAGTAATTATTTAAATCAATTTTTCCCCAGATTTGGCATCAATCAAGCATCGAACAAAATGAATTTACAAGGATATGGGAAGAAACCGAAGCGGTAAAAGTTTAATTACCTCAATCATTTTAGATCTATTTTACCATGCATTTCTCATACCTTTTCTACCAACGCTGAAAGAAAAAAAAACAAATGAAATAAAAAGTTTTCATAACAGTATGGAGTAAGGTTTTTCTGCATTTCTTTGCTTAAGGTTTTCTAAAGGTTTTATAATGTTTGTTAACCAAACAATAAAATTGAAAGTGGACAAAACATTTCAGAAAAATTGGCTAGTTAAGTTAAACTCATGTGAAATTTGGAAATAGAGGTCGAGGATCTGTTTATGTATATAATTCATTTATCAGTCAATTTGTGAAATAATTAATGTGTTTATCTTATGTTATTAGTACATTTGTGTTAATTATTCATTTATCAGTCTGTTTTTGAATGAATTAATGTTTTCCTTTTAATATGTTATTAGTACACTTGTGTAAATAATTCATTTATCAGTCAGTTTTTGAAAGAATTCATGTTTTCCTTTAATATGTCATTAGTACACTTGTGAAGACGTATAGTATGATGTTGTATAAATCTCAGCCATTGAAAATAACGTTTTAATATTTGCTGCATACTTCTATCAAATGAGTATTCCCGTCGAAAGCATTTCCCATTATAACTTATTCCCCCAAAAAAGAAGCATAAATTAAGGCCTGCATGCTTCCCGATCAGCTAAATCTGTCAATAAAATCAAACTTGGGAAAAGTAAACTACGAGGTTTGAAAAGGTTAAAAGATTCAAGTAAATATTATGTGCGATTAAAGACTATTTATTGGTATTTATTTAGTAGCTATTTTGACATATTCTTATGGTAATTTACGTGGATTGTATGTGCCATTGATAATTTGTAAATTGCTCCCTTTGGTTACTTCACAATATAATGCTTTTAAGTACATTTTCAACATTTTCATGGAAATTAGCATGAATCTGTTGGCATACTGCTTAAAGTGTTCTTGTGTTATAGATATTAAAAATAAATTAACGATATTGACAAACGCTATTTGATCTTAATTAAAACAAGGACTACCACATTTACTTGTAGATTCTTCTAAGGATTAACGAAGTATATCCAATCGCAAACTTCAAACATAAGATTACAGACATTCGAAATAGGTCTAATAAAGGTTTCAAGCAAAGGCGACTTCGTCAAACATTTTCGGTAAGTATATTTTACCTAATTTATTGAATGTCTTGACTTTCTTATGATTATAAAAGTGAACGTTGTTGTGTCACTCTTTGTTTACACAATGCGCACTCATGAATTTATTATGTGGAGGCATCCATATTTGCATTCAACTGAGAATACATAAAAAATACTTTCTATAGGGTTAACGCATGTTTTGCCGTATTATAACGTCTGCAGAGTCCCGAGAAACGGTTGGTGTCCGAGTCCGGTTGGGCGAGGGCTCCTACGTTTCCGAGGGACTCTGCATACTTTGTAACGCGAAATAAACGATTTATTAACTCAAGAAAAAACATTAAATTACTCTACCAAAGACAAAACATGGCCCTCGAATAGTCCTAGAATTATTTCAGATTGACGGTAAAAAAGATCACTGACATCAGAATCGTTTTCTTTCAAGCACACAAGTTTATAAAAAAAATCTGACACTTAACAATATTCTCACAAAGAAATATAACGAGCATTTATCAATGTAAACATCAATAAAACAACATTTTCTCATATTAATTTTGTGTTATCTTGTTTTCTTACTTAATCGGTGGGGGTAACGTAAACTGAATGACATATATTTGTTTACATTGACAACTGTCCGTTTCTTAGAAATGGCGACAACCAAGATTTAGTGGCGATGTCTATACGCCGTGTTTCGGCATAGTTACTTGAATGCTGCTCGCCGTTATGCGATTGAGACCACTTTTTCAGCGCCCCCTATCTAAAAATTACATCAGGGGGTTGCCAGAAAGGGGATGTGCCCCTTCTGTTTGGGGGGGGGGGTGAAGGGGGCGACAGTCCCCCTCATTGCCAAGAAACTTTTGGACTTGTGAGAGACTAAAAATGACCCCAGATCGATCATAAGGTAACATGTAACCAACGCTGAAAAGCCTTTGACTCTATCTCAATCCATTGAGAAGTTGCAGCACTTTAAAATCAATTTTGTTGGAAACAATCAATGCAAAATAGTGATTTTCGGTTATTTTGATATGTCCCCTTGTTGTCATGGTAACAGGAAATTTAGGTCTGAATACGTTATTACAAAGTCAATGGTCGCCAAGTTTGATTTGTGTTGAAGCAGTTTTCATTGTTTTATAGCAATTGGAACTTGTGACGAGAGACTTTTCAATGAAAACAGCCATTTTTTACAAAATGCTCATGCAGTAATAGGTTAATGAAAAAAAAATCTACAAAACAACAAGGTCATGCAGTAATACGTTAATGAAAAAAAAAATATACAAAACAACAAGGTTTGTTTTGGTTTTATTTTACAAATATCTCAACATATGTTTTTAAGTTTATTTCTGAAAAAAATTGTAAATAATTGTCTTTTGCAGTTTTGAAGTTTTACCTCGACATTTTGTAATATCAAAAGAACATTCGCTTAAGTCACGTTGCTGTGGCCATTTCTGACTTAAGCATCAAAGAAGTGTGAACTTTTATAACAATGTATTACAGGTAAGAATCCAGTGCCATCATGGGCCTCTTTATAGAGGCTATAACACTAAAAGAGAAAGCAGGACCATGTTTTCGATATTTAAATTATTCATGTTTAAATCAAAGCTTTTTAAAAATGATTTCGAAATAAAATTTGACCCTCCAGAATTGTTTATATTTTAACCATTTTTTGGTCGAAATTTTATGAAGGTTTCGCCGAGCTACTCTTTGTGTCGTAGGTTCTGATCTGACATAAATATTAAAAAATGTGCATTAAGAAAATTTCAACAACGGACCCAAAATAAAGTAACTTTACGAAATCGTTCTACCAAACGAGGATTCCCTTCAACCGCTACACCATGTCAGTACCTTCATTAATGTATATAAATTTCAAATTGACATTGACTCATGTATGACCTTACCTTGGAAGTCAAGTGATTAAAGTTTCACTGATTTTTGCTATATTTGACTGTATCCTGGTAATCAATCAATAGATTATGTTCATACGTAGACAAAACAATACTTTTGACAAGAGATTTAAAGGTTGAACTGACTTTGACCTTTAGCTTTAAATGACATTGCCCATCAAAGTAGAATTATTAAATAATGGTTAATTTGTCATAATTTTGTTATTTATTTTAGGATTTGAATCTTAGGTTTACAAAGCAACTCTTGACACTAAACGGACATTTTGAATAATTAAGATATGATGTTGCAGTTAAATGACCTTGACGGTCAAATGATTGAATTTAAATAATATTTTCTTAACTTGGTATTTATTTGTGGAAATGATTCATACCTTACATCTTAAATTTTCTTTTTAAAGATTGTTTAAACTGATTATCTGTACTCAAGCCAGGTAAGCCAACAATATAATGTACTTACTTGTGAAGGAGCTTTTACATTTGCTCCCCTTAAGTAGAGAATAGTCCTATATTTTTACACACTACTGCACATGATGTTTGTCCTTTCGGGACCGTCGTCGAAACTAAACTATTCATACAAGGTACCCCAAGTCATGTGTTTTAAAAGGCGTGCAACAACGGAGCATAAGCGCGAAATTTGTATCGATAATGCATGCTTTACTCTCCGTGAATTTATGCCTGCGTATGCAGGTTTTATGCCAGAATGTAGAATATGACTTCAAAATTTACTTTGGATGATGTAATGTTGGCTGTACTTCAAAATACTTCTTTGTAAATGGATGCATTCAATTCAATTTCTTCTAAATCCATTCCCATGTACGTAGAAGGCTGTATTAAGATAATTTGCGGTCGAGAAGACTATGCATACGTATCCTTTTGACGCTCTGACATCGCTAGACCCGTTAGGAAAGGACCATTGAGCCACGGTGGACCGTACAACATATGAGATACATTCTGTTAACTGGTGAGTCCAGGTTCTGCCTTGATTTTACAGATAGATGTGCTAGTCTGGAGAAGACGAGATGACGGGTTCAGGCTGCAAATATTGCTGAGCATGACCGTTGTGGAGGTGGGTCAGTTATGGTGTGGGTGGGCATTAGCTGGAATGGACGAAGCGATCTGGTTGCTCGCCGCCATACGGCCAAGATGGTCCAGGTCTACATAGAGAGGGAGTCTATTGATCGCATGGACTGGTCAGCTCGCTCATCTGACTTAAATCCAAGAGAACACATGCGGAATGAGCTTCAGGTTAGAAGTTTAGCTCGTCAGCTGCACCCAAGAACTATCCAGGAGTTTTGGGCTATGTTAGTCCAAGAATTGGCAGTCATACCGAGCAGAAACCGAATAAGGAATATGAGAAGGTGCTGCCAAGCTGTCATAATAGTCAAGGGTCACGTACACGGTATTAAGTCTAAAACTGTTAAAACAACAACAAGAACAACAACAACAAAACAATACAACGAATTTGGAAAACACGCTGTATGTTCTGGAACCTTCAAAGAGGAGGTTATGCCGATCATCCTCTTCTCTAGCACAAAATCAGTGTAAAACTCATTTAAGGGTTAAATCCGTCCTTCAGTTGAATTGATAACAGTATATCAACATTTAAAATCTTTGCACGGCGTTAATATAATCATCCTAAAAATTATCACATACAAGCATATGGTGCTTAGCAAAAATTCAGTAGTAAAGTTTGACTACACCATCTTATAAAACTTTTTTTTTTGCTAAAGTATATAAACTTTTTGTAAACTATTTGTACTAGTTGTACTATTTGTAAATATAGACGATACACCGCGCACGTCTATTAAAACAAAGTTCGTGTCATTTCAACATTTTAGGGTGTTGTTATTTTAACAAAATAATGTCTAGTTTGTGAAAACTTCCTTTCACAGAAAATAAGGATGTATTTGTTCTTTAAACAAGATTAAAAAAAAAACAGGTATAAACGGTGTTCCGTTTGGACAATCGTAATTTTTTATTTCGTCCTTACCCGCGAGGCACGGTGGTACGATGGTGAAAATGATGAACACACGACGATGGTATGATGGTGAAAACACGATGGTACGATGGTAAAGCACGATGTTTAATACAGTTTTCATCATGGTTACATCGCGTCTTCACCAACGTATCATCGCGTCTTTACCATCGTTCCATTGCGTTTTTACCATCGTTCCATCGTGTTTTCACCATCGTACCATTGCGATTTTATCATCGTGTCACCGACTCTCGGTGGTCAACCGTAATGGTATATTTTTTATTAATATATGCGTTCTTTTTATTTTACCGTGCACGTCTTCTTTTGCGTATCTTTGAGATCTTTCCACCTGGCCCGGATTGTTCAAAACATTGGTTAAAATTAACCAATGCATTTCTTATCGGATATGCCTCCATTGTTTAAATCCAAAACTAGCGGCCAATACCCAGTGGATAAAATTTTTCTTGCTCGACTGTTGGATATTACTCTGGATACTTAACCACTGGATTGCTAATTTATCCACCGGTTAAGTACCACAATGCAACAGGGCCGGTTAGTGATTCTGGAAACAAATTGATCGATTTATTGATGAATAATAAATTTCTTAGAATCAGGAAGCTACCAAAGAATTAATTTTGCATGTTTTGTGCTTTCATGTTTTTGTTATGAAACAAAAATGTATATCAAAGGCCTTAAAGTATAGATAGATCTATTCTCCCTTAAAGGCACAGGAAAAAAATCAAAAACAAATTTTTAATTTGAATTACTTCCATTAGATGAATTATGTTCAAAAGAAAAAAATGAGTACTGACACTTGTATCTTTAATAAAAAGTAAGAAAGACTGTTTAACCCAATTTTCTGAACTACAACAACAACAAATAGAGATTAAAAAGGGGTTCTAAATGTATTTTTTTTTTCAATTTGAATCATCTCCATTACATATGAAATGGTTTAGTTAAGAACAAATAAACATATATTTGTAAGAAAGATCTGGTTTCAAACAAGTTTTAAAGTTTTTGCTGTTTTAATGATGATGGCTAACTACTAGTCGTTTGTTTAATTCTACAAACCAGTATGTCATTTTTTGTCATTTTTAGAAAATCGCATTTGAAAGTTTGAACTGCAATAACTTTTTGATGATAAACCCTATAAAGATAAAATTTTCTGTGAATTTGGGAATCTGTATGATATACATATATACTAAACTTTATTACTATGCATACAATTTTAAAGCTGATATATATCGCAAATATTTAATTTCAATTTCTCAAAATAAATAAGAAAACACATACATATTGTAAATTATAAAACCTAATTCAGGAGATACTGTGTTGTTAGCAAAATATTCAGGTCATTTCTTTATCATTAAAGCGACATACGGGGTTCTAAGTATTCATTTGAAGCAATATTGACTAAGTGTAGTAATATTCGGCTAGAAACATAGCAAATATTCAAGTAAAATATCATTAAATTCTCCTACTGTGTAAAATATTATACATCTGTTGCATTTTGTCTTCCATTCAAGAATACCTAATAACTATAACTTCAGGGATGATCCAAATGCAATTGCAAAACGGATTCAGCTATATAGCCAATGAGTACCCTTTCAAAAAGTGTAAAAAATGGAAAATGAGATGCTTTAGGAAACAAATTGGAAATAAACATATTTATTTTAGTTCTACAATTACATAAGAATGTTGACTGTGAAGAGCTCACTGAGACGATAAAAATGATATAAACATCTCAATTTTGCCCAAAATCGAGTTACGGGGTTGTAGAATTAAGCCGACGACCGGGCATAATCCGGTTGTCGTACAACTGGTTAAAGTTGAACATTGGATAACGCATTTTATCCGTTAGATAACTTCTGAACAACAGAATTCAGCCAATGGATAATGATTTTATCCGTTGGTTATCACTAACCAATGTTTTGAACAACCGGGTCCTGAAGTTTTTCAAAGCGATGTCTCAAATATTTTTTGAGTAATTAGTATTTAAAGCATGATAAATAACAAGAGGCAATCACTCAAAAAAAAAAGGTTGTCATTCTTGTGCACTATACATATAAAATTTCCGGTTAATAACTTCTATACAGCACAAATAGAAATGCAAACAAAAACATTTATTAAATATGCTTTGATCTATATACAGGATAATGACACAAATTGACATGTAGTGATATCATGTTTTATAATTATTTATTTATTTACTATGCCGTATCAGAATCTGACATATTTCTGAAACGCGATGATACGACGGCATGATGGTGAAAATATAATGGCACGATGGTGCAAATGCGATGGTACGATGGAGAAAAGGCGACAGAACGATGGTAATGACGCGTTGGTACAATGGTAAAAACACAATGGCGCGATATAGCGATTGCACTATGGCGAAAAACATCGCAATTTAACAATCGTACCATCATGACATCGCAATTGTTATCACTATCGTACCATCGTGTTGACATTATCGTGTCATCGTACCATCGCGATTACACCATCGTACTATCGTGTTTTCACCATCGTACCAGCGTGTGTTCATCATCGTGTCGTCGTACCATCGCGATTACACAATTGTTCTATCGTGTTTTCACCATCGTACCAGCGTGTTTTTATCATCGTGTCATAGTACCATCGCGTTTTCACAATGATACAATCCTGCATTGCGGGTTAAAACAAAATAAAAAAATACGATTGTCAAAACGAAATATCGTAGGTATGTGACTATTTTGCTTGATAGATAAGCATCGAGGGAGTTATCATGATTTGAATTTTAAACCTTCAATTCGGATTTTTATTTCCCTTAGACCATTGATAATGACGCACGTGTCGTGTCGAATTATAATGAGTTGTGAATATGATTTTGTTATATTTGTGCTTACTACATAAAGTGACAAGGTGGGCTTTTTTGATCATAATTATTTCAGTGTCCGTCTGTCCGTTGTCCGTCTGTCCGTTTGTAAACTTTAACTATAAACGTCATTTTCTCATAAACCACTACGCCAATTTCATCTATTATACTTAACAGGAATATTTATTTGGTGGCGACCTGTAAATTTTTTAAAAGAATTTAATTCCATGCAGAACTCTGGTTGCCATAGCAACCGAAAGAAAACGACCGTAAAAACACAAATAGCTAGAGCTATATACTTATATTTGGCATGAAACATTTTCTAGTACGTATCTAGCAAGGTTTTTTTTTTAAACAAAAGCACTGGGGTCAAAATTGGCCCCAGCACCAGGGGGATTGATTTTTTAAAGTGTAGTCTTTTAAAACCATAAAAAACGAGGTTTTTAAGCATGAAACATCTTCTAGTGGGGGTCTACTGAATTTGTTCAAATACAAGTCTTGGGGTTAAAATCTTCCCCGCCCCTCGGGGAAATTAATTTTATATCTCGTATATAAAGTAAAAAGCTAGAGCTTAGATATTTTGCATAAACCATTTTCTTGTAAGTGTCTATAAAGTTTGACCAAATAAAAGCCCTGGGGTCAAAATAGCCTCGTCCCAGGGAGTCATTGATATCCCTTATATGTATATAAAGTAAAGAAACTAGCATAGCAAAATCTTTTTTAAAACAACCAAATAGCTAGAGCTTAGATATTTGACATGAATCATTTCCTAGCAAGTGTCTACAAAGTTTAATCAAAATAAAGCTCTGGGGTCCAAATTGGCCCCGTCCCAGTGGTCATTGATTTACCTTACATATATATGGTAAGAACAAACAGATCTTCTTTTAACAAGACCCAGCTAGTTTAGATATTTTGCATTAAACACCTTCTTACGGGTGTCTTCCAAGTACTTCTGGTCAAAATTGGCCCCTGCCCGGGGGTCATTGATTTTGGTTATGACGGTATAACTGTTGACAAAATATTTAGGAATGATTTAAAACAATTTCTTCTTAATTTTCTAAATTACACTTAAAACGTAAATCTAACGGAACTTCAAAAATAGAGTACTAGTCTAAGAGTACTAGAGAACAAACTTTCAACCATAATTGATTTGGAGGATGATATAATTTTACAAGAAACTATTGAATATAAATTATCAGTAATTCAAATTAAAAAGGCTTTTTTCTTTTCTGATTTTAATGAAGCTTTTGATTGTTCTGATCACAACTTTATGAAACATTTTAATTTCCTTATTATTTTTAATTGGGTTGGCCTTTTTTCATAAAGATGCTAAATCGTGTATATCTATTAATTCTCATCTTTACAGTTTCTTTAAAATATCTTTCCTCTTATTTTCCTTCCTCCTTAAATTGTTCATTTTTCGACAACAAGAATTATTTAAAGCATTTTTTCATTTTTTACACTGACTGTTTTTATTTGTACTAAACAGAATCGCTTTATCTTCTGAAAAACAAGATGATTTAAATATAGAAACCGCATCCTTATACGCAGCCATGTGAACATGAGTTATAAAACCTTTTTTTAATTTATCACTTAAACACACAATTTCTTCAAGTTAAGTCCTCCCTTAATACCTCAATAAATGAAGGAACTATCAAGTGAGTTCAAAGTCTGGGAAATACCATTCAAAAATGAGTCTTGGTACATTTTATCTTTATCAATTTAATACGTATATTATTACTACTTGTTGACTTATATAATGGTACATTATGTATTTTAAATGCAAACAACAATGTGGCATGGTTTGAACATCCGATCTCAAAACCGTCGCGTTATTTTCACACGCATGGAAATAACGCTTCACTGGTCGGCTGCCAGAATTGAATTCAAAATCTTTTAAACGACAACTTTTTTCTCACTGTTTGGTAGATTTTGATGAAACTATAATTATACAGAAATTACCCTTAGATGGGACTTCATAGAAATTGCTCAAATGTTTCCCATATGTTGAACAATATGCTGCCGGTATTAGAAAAAAGAGTGTGACATGACATGTTATTTGGCATTTTGTCCTCAACTGCTAATTATTTTTTGATAAAACTCCATGAAAATGATGAATGGGCGGTATTTTACTTCAGTTGTTAAATGTGTACTGGTGTGCTGAATAAAATGGCAACTAGAGCTTAAAATAGAAAAGATTTCATTACAGGTGCCTATATAATGAAATCGTATTTATTTAAACCATCCTTTCATGTGAGTGATTAAGAGCCTCTTCCTATGCTGTAATTGGCTATAACTTATGAATAAATGTATTTTCTTTAAACATGTGCAAAATAATACTTGGGACAATACATTAATGAAATTTAATCCAAATTGACTTTGATTTGACCTTTGACACACAACAAAGAAATATTATGTCAAAACACATATGTTAAATAATGCATTATTTTTCATAAAACTTGTCCGATGGTTGAGTCAAATGTGACCTTAACCATCAAGGTCAAATATGAAAAATAATGTATGTAGGAAACGCTTGACAACAATTTTCTTCCTCTGGTTGTTTGACGACGTCAGAAATTAGAAAAAGCGAACGTTGTCCCAGCTAGACATTCACTCTTGTGATTTTTATGACATTGTTTTCTATTGTAGGACAGATTATTTCTGCTTGATCCAAATGAGGCTTACATTTACAATGAGGCTTTGAAGAAAGGGTCCGGGAAAGACAGATTTGTAAGAATTAATGTCGTTGGTAACTATGGACAAGGCAAAACTAGTCTGACGAGAAGGCTTTTGAATCAGTCTTTAGAAGGCGTTGAAAGCACAGATGGCATTGATGTTCATGTGCGGAAATGTAAAATTAAAGATAAAGAATGGGTAAGCTCGCTAACGGAATTCGATGAAAACGACTGTCTAGAAAACTTAGTTGAAGGGACTATTCGCATGAAAACCATTGAAAATAAAACTGATAAATCTGATCGTACAGAAAGTAAAAAACGACGAAAGGGCATGCCCTCTGAAGGTTACACAGAAGAACCAGTAACGGGCGTGTTTTCAAGTAAAAAGTCAATCGCAGATGATCCTCTAAGTACAAAATCTGAAGCTTCTAATGATCCTCCTAGTACCGAATCTGAAGCTTCTAATAGTTCTCCTAGTACCGAATCTGAAGCCTCTAAATCAAGCTTCGCAACTGGTGAAAATACATGCACTGAAGCACACATTCAAGCAAGTTTTATAAGAAAATATTCAAGTCAATTAAGAGACAAAATGGATATGCCTTTGGATGAAACATTAACCGCAAATATTTGGGATTTTGGTGGACAGTTCATTTATTACGCTACACACCAAATATTTCATTCAAGGGACGCTATTTATCTTTTAGTGTTCAGTTTGGCGAAAGATCTAAATGAAGCTGTCATAGATACGGAATTTCCCGACAGAAAGTGGTCAATGGGGGACTGTCTAAAGTTCTGGCTTAATTCCATTCATACACATACAGGTTCAGAAGAAAATGGTGTGACTTCGGAAAATGTTTCAAATACGACAAACAAGATCAAAAAGGAAATGCAGCGTTCAATAAATGCAACCCCCATACGACCAAGCAACAAGGATCAGCGCGAAAGAGCCCAGAAGGACCCGAAACAAAAACAGGACAGGGCCAAACCAAACGTAATATTAGTAGGTACATTTAAAGACAAATTTGAGGGTGATTCAGAAAAGAAATTTGATGAAGTTTTGGATTTGTTTGTGAATGATTTAGCAAGAAGTCACCTGTTGCCGGAACAATATGCCGTTTCTAACATAAATATGTCAGATGATGAAGTCAGAAAATTGAAGGGTAAGATTTTTGAACTAGGAAGGAATCATGCAGAGAGGAACCAAGTTCCATTGAAATGGATACCGCTCGAGATAGCACTGTTGGCAGAAAAAAGTAAAAACATCATAACATTTGACGAAGTCAAGGATCTGAATTTTAAAAATGAAAATCTTGTTGAAGAAGAAGAATTGAAAACATTTTTGAAATATCTCCACCTAAAGGGCTCTCTTATCTTCTTTGACGAAGAAAACCTTGAAGGCTACATTGTTGTAAACCCACAGTATTTAGTTAACGCATTCAGATGCGTTATTGGATCGAGATCATGTATAAAAGATGCAAAATTGCATCCTCTATGGAATCGTATGAATGAAACTGCAATTCTAGAAAATGAGCTTCTAGATGCTATGTGGAAGAAAGTGGAAAAAGATTTCGCCAAAAACAAAGAGGTTTTATTGATGTTCCTACAGAGACACATGATATTATCTAAACTTAATATTATGGATGAAGAAGGAAACATGGACTACCAAGAGAAATACATGATACCGAGCCTTTTGAAACACTCTTGTGATCAACAGGAATTAAAAATGTTCACAGATGGTAAGTGTACAACACTTGTATCACTCGGTTTACGGATAGAAAATACTGCTTTGTTGACAAGTCTGTATGAAAGAATAACTGCAGGTATTTTAGGAAAATGGTCTCCATTTGTGTTGAATAAACGAGTATTTGTATTTCAAAACGTTGGCTATTTTAGATTAGATTTGGAACATGTTGGGAAGGTGGAATTGAAGCCTGGAAAGGGCATTCAGCTTACTGTTATAAATCAATGTCCAGGTATCAAAGTGGGTAGTAAAGTGTCTGATTATTTCAGAAGATACGTCGAAAGCCTTATTAAACATGATTTTCACAAACGTAAGCGTTCCATGTACAATAGCAGCCCTTATACACATTACCTGGCCTGTTGTGATAGTTCACATGACGGAAATGAAAGTGAGAATACGTACGATATTGATGAATTGAGGACCAAAGAAAGAGCTCCCTGTCCAGATCTCAAAGCCCATGCAATTGATTGCAAATCAGCGATTGATGAATGGTTCCTGCCCGGCAAAACTACAGATCTGTACGCAATTACAAACCGACGAGTAACCAAAATGGAACTTGGAATGTTTGCAGGGTGCATTGGACATAATTGGAGACTTCTTGGAATAGCTCTTGGTGTGCGACCCGTTGACCTAGATCATCTAGAAATGGACTATCGTTGCGAAGTTGCAACATGCATTTACAAGATGCTCTGCAAGTGGGAACAGATTAAACAAGACGATGCCACATTGTTACAATTGATTACCTGCATAGAAGGCAATCAAGCCATAAATGTAGACTGGGACATGATAAAAAATATCATAGAAGGCAATTAGCCTCATCCCTAGAATAAGTGTATGAAAAAGAAAATACTGAACATTCGGAGACGGTAAAATGCTAGTTGTCTTAACATTTGTATACAATGATTACGGAAGATATGTGGACATTTACACATGCGTATCTCGTGATTTTGCAGTCTATAGGCTGTTATATTTGTATATTTCAGGAAAAGATTTTACCACACAATCAGCATTGTTTTTAGCTCTTGCAACGTTCTTGTGGTTTGTTACATATATACATATGTCTGACTAAATAAATCTATAAGGAGATGTTTAATCTTTGATACCGGAAAATGATTTGATACCGGAACACGAATAACTTTAATTAAACGTTAAAAATAAAAAATTGACTTTTGAGTAAAGTATGGAATATATTTCACGAAGCATGATAAAAATATATTTATTTTAACGAGGCAGAGGTTCGCATAATATGACTTAATTCGAATCGATCAATCAATTCAGAATCGAACCTACACCAATTCAATGTATAATTAATATTTCAGTAGGAGTTTCTTGCATATCAGACAGGAATTTCCATTGGTAACACCGTCGCTAGAAACATTTGTTTTTCACTTCGTGTAAGACATGTCATTCCCCTGCGTCTTTTGTGAATGCATTGTGTTCTTAGAATGACGCTATTTGCCGCTCTAACTGGAGTTGTAAATTCGTACGCTTCTGTAAGGAAAAGGTCCACAAGGAAACATAAGTTTTCTTAATTTCTTTCTTAATTTCTTTCTTTGTAATATGCACGAATAAGAACCTAAAACCGGCTATTGACGAGGACGAGAAAATCTAGCTCACGGTAAACTGTTTTCACCCTTAAACAATTACTCTTGGGATAGATATTACAGCCTGTGCCGTCTGCCAGTGTAAGTTTCTTATTATACATGTAGTATTATATGATTTCGGATATTTACGCGTATGTACTAGTTTTGTTTTGTATCGAAGATGTATTGCTTGACAACCTGAAATGTTTAACACTAAATTTATTGATGTCTTTTTGTATCAATTAATGTTATTTGTATCATATTTGATAATAACACTAAGCAGTTAGTGGATAATTTCATGTTCACAAATAAAATGTTCAAATTGTTACCTTGTCAAAATTCTCTTGCTATATTACTTTGAAGCAAATGCATAAATTAATATCACATACAGTAGGTATTCTCAATGATTAATTCCTGCTATTTGATGATAGGTGAGTGATAGAAAGAGAATAAAACACGACGCTATCTCATTTGTACGTGGAGGCGTTTGCCAAGTGTTTCGAAATGCTTTTTTATTGCAGAACATTACATTTTCCCTGGTCGTACCAAATTTTAACCCAATATAATTGTCAACAATCTATGAGCATCTAGATATGACTTCTCTATCGTTATCCCTTTCCCTGCCGTCACGAAAGGTAACCCCCGGAAAAATGTAATTGTCAATCTTTGGTAGATAGTGCGATAACTGGAGTGTATGTAACTAATATGTTTATTCCAGTTAGCACAATGTATATTAACGCGAAAACCATTTATCCTCAAGGAAATTTCAACAAAAATTCATTATGGTCATTAAACAATGATACATCACTCAGAATGAATGTTTATGTTCATGCGTCGTACTGAGTGTTATGTATTTTCTGATAATTTTGATTAGTATGTATTTACCGAAAAGTGAATAGAAAACTCGGTGGCTTGTACATTTGTTAAATGGAATATTTGTATGATATTTGCAAATGAACTCCTAATTGTTGTCATTGATTCCATATGTATGATAGTTGCCGATAATGTTATGAAGTGGATGATTGACTGTCTTTGGAAACGTATGGTGACTCTTATTGTATTGTAGAAAGTATTAGTTGTTGTTTTTGTACGCTGTAGTATACTTGAAGCTTGATGGTAATTTTATATTTATACTGATGATATTGTTTAGTCTATGTTTTAACTGATAAGGGTTTGTCATACATCCTATATATTTTTTCGTTACAGTATACATATATACTGCCTTGTTTTTGGTTATATTCATTTATGACACTATTTCAAAATGCTTCATTGATGTTGTAAGAATTTCTCCATAAGAACACGTTTAGGATAATTCTATATATGAAATCATTTTCTTTGTTTGATTTTCATATTTAAAGATTTATTGAGGATTAGTTGATAAATTGTTATAATAATTAGGTTATGTGTTGTTATTGTTTTTTCTGTTTGTAAGATTGTAATATATTTCATGTGTATTTCACAGTCTAGCTACGAATAAAAGTTTAAGAGCTTGTATCCATGGGTGAAATATAATTTGATCTTACATACTAGAAAACAACATCAAATGTTCTACTTATTTCAGTTTGGGGGCTTTTAATTATTTTTATTAATATTTCCATGCTTCATACATTACGTCATCATCAAGCATCTCGTTATCAAGCATATTTTAGTAACATAATTCTGAAATTACAAGAAGTATACTTATCTGTGTCCAAAACCTATTCGGGGAGCATCACCCCGTTCAACCGGCTCTTGTTTATTTATTTTACGTCGTTTTCCAAAAATTATATTTAAAATTGATTTTTACATCATTATAGCTGCTTAGCACGAAAGTCAGAAGCGAGGCTTATCATAAAGTTTCTACATTATCCTGATAGATAACCTGTAATGTACACTTATTAAACCCCCGCACAACGAAGTTGTAAGGGGGTATACTGGAATCAGCTTGTCCTTGTAAGATTCCTTTGAATCACAATCTTCATATTTGGTATTTAGATTGGTCATAATTAGCAGATGATTCCTATTGATTTTGAGGTTACAAGGTCCAAATTCAAGGTCAGAGGGGCCTTGACTTAAAAAAGATTGTCCGCCTAATAACTTGAGATTCTTTTTACCCACAGTCTTCATATTTCGAATTTGGATTGACCATGATCAGTAGATAATTCTTACTGATTTTGAGGTCACAAGGTCAAAGGTCTAGGTCACAGGGGCCTGGACTTAAAAAAGCTTGTCCGTCCAATAACTTAAAATTCCTTTGACCCACTGTCTTCATATTTGGCATGAAGTATATTCATGATTAGAAGATGACATCTATTGATTTTGTGGTCACTGGATCAAAGGTCAAGGTCACATGGGTCTTGACTTAAAAAGCTAGTCCACCCAATAACTTAAGATTCCTTTTACCCACAGTCTTTATATTTGTCATGGAGGTTAGCTATTATTAATAGATGACCCCTATTGATTGTTGGGTCACTGGGTCCAATGTCCAGGTTAAAGGGCTCGTCTTAAAAAACTTGTCCACTTTAAGAGTCCTTTGATCCACAGTCTTCATATTTGACATGAAGGGTAGTCATGATAAGTATATGACCCTATTGATCTTGTGGTCACTAGATCAAAGGTCAAGGTCATAGGGACCTTGACTTCAAAAGGTGTGTCCGCCTAAAAACTCAAGAAACTTTTGACCCACAGTCTGCATATTTGGTATGAAGGTTGATCATGAACATTAGGTCACTGGGTCAAAGTTCAACGTCACAGAGGCCTGGACAAAAAAGCTTTTCCGATCAATTGCTTAAGAATGCTTTGTTTCCGGAATTTTATACTTCACAACAGCAGGTGTCAAGTGCTGTGTGGCAGCTGTAAAAAGTTGCCCCGTACTTCACTTCAGTGTTGTTATATTTTCTGGTCCTTCGGGATCATTGATGCCAGCACCATTAATTCTTATGTTATTTTGTTGTGATTAATGCTTCCGAGGGATCACTTTTTTTTCCAGAATTTTGAGAATTGAGTACCGCTCAAGCCGGTGCTAGGGGGCGTGAGGGATGTTGCACTTATTAATTATCTCTCATGTACAGACTCAATCCAACCGAGTCTGCAATTCTTATGTAATTTTATTTGGATTAATGCCTCCGAGGGATCACTTTGTTTCTGGAATCTTATACTTCACAACAGCTGGTGTCAAGTGCTGTGTAGCAGCTGTAAAATGTTGCCCCGTACTTCACTTCAGTGTTGTTATATTTTCTGGTCCTTCGGGATCATTGATGCCGGCACCATTAAGTGTTGAGAATTGAGTACCGCTCAAGCCGGTGCTAGGGGGCGTGAGGGTTGTTGCACTTATTCATTATCTCTCATGTACAGACTCAATCAAACCGAGTCTGCAATTCTTATGTAATTTTGTTGGGATTAATGCCTCCGAGGGATCACTTTGTTTCCGAAATTTGGTCAACAGTCTTAATATTTGGTATCGAGGTTGTTTATAAAGGTCAACGGAATTTTAACAATAATAAACTTAAATGCTTAAAATGCCTGTCTGCAGTGTATTGATTTTGACATTTTCACATTTGATGCATGCAGATTACATAACGAAGCAACGCACTGGCTTAGTAACCTCAGATGTGACAGGCAGGTTGTCCTTGAGCTCTGAAAGGTCACTGTTGATTCTGACAAGTGGTATGCGGGGATATTCTTGCCATGACAATGGCAGTGCTAGTTAACTTTTGTATACATTGTTGTTTTGTTATAATTTCGATACTCTCTGTAAATATCTATGTGTACTTTGAATGATATATTATGTTAGTTATTTACCGAACATAAATAGTGTATAAACCAAGATTAGAACCAAAGTTTCAGTTTTATTTAAAATATAACCCAGTTTTTTTATTTACAATTATAAAACATGAGACAGATATAACGATGTAATTCTCATTGACACTTTCTGATTCCAGCTGTATGAGTTTTTTGCTGATTTATGACCCTTAATACAACGGTGTGTTACCTGTAAATGATCTGGCGTTGCCTTTATTAGCTTATTATTTATATAATCACTGGCTTTTAAAAGATGTTTTATATCCCTATTCCAAATAATTTCTCATGAAAGTATATTCTATCCATCAGTTTTGTTAATGAAAAGAAGTATTCGTTTTCACAAGAAAGGAAGAAAGGCACAACATAAGAGCTTTTGGGAAATTTAAAGTGCCCCAAATGACAAGACTTCATCTTAGTAAATACTAATATATGATATCAAGAAACATATAGGAATTTCTAATTACTTAGATATTGTGTTAGGATTTGCATTCATCAAAATTTTAAAATGGGTATATATAAATCTTATAGTATCTATGTGATTAAACTATTAACAATGTTTTAAGAGTCATCGGTCTTTAAACAACGAGTGGTTATCATTCCTTAACTAATTCATATTTTAGAAGTATCCGTTGTAAATGTAGCTTTTTAAAAATTAAAAGTAGTTGTAACTCTTGAATAACTGTTTAAGGAGTTGTAAATGTTATAATCATATACAAACATATTGTTCCTATAAAAAGGAAAGAGAAACAGAATATTTAACGTTAAGTTGTGACTTTTGAAATACTGTCTAGGAAATTGTAATGTTTGAAATTTTGTTGAAGGCCTTGTGACTCTTTAAAAAAAACTTTCAACTTGTGACAGCTAGTTATCACAACCCGTTGTGATAATTCATATATATATCATCTTTTTTCGAAGATAAATTTTAATTAAGATAGTTTTTGGACAAAACAGAAACATTAAATGTTTTATACATACGCTCGTACACTGTTTGGACGTATTTTGGTATGTGATTGTCCCTCCGACTATCTGTCCGTCCGTCTGACCGTAGACAATATTGGTTTCCACGGTATAACGTTTGAAAGATTATAATGATTGTGTTTTTAATTGGAATATAACTATGTTATATCAACAACATAGCATGTTCTATTTCCACTGCAATCAAATCAATAGTAAGTGCCCCTTTATTATAAGATATTTTTATCACAAACTTGGTTTCTGTTTGATCAATTTCTTGACATACAAGTATTTGTTTCCCGCAACAATCAGTTTATTTATGATAGAGTTATGCCCCTTTTAAAGGCAAGTGTTCTGTAAAGATTTTGATTCCGCAAGGTGTTCAATGATTGTGTTTATATTTGGCATATATGTTATATAAAAACAGGTTAAGGTTGATATATTTGATTCAATCAACTTATCAATGAAAATGCTATACCCCTTTTAAAGCAATCAATGCATTATTGACATATATGAAATTGTATCCCTTTTTAAATAAATTACGCACACAAGTAAGTGCATTTACCTTCTATTGCTAAGATGCTCGTACCTGTATATTTTGTCTTTCACATTTGTTTTGAAAATCATTAGTTGTGCTTTTTGAAAAATAACATCTAAATCTATTTTAAATGTACATTTTGTCTGTGAATTTCTTTTTAAAGATTTGCAATCGGGCATATGTTGCTCCGCTTCATGTGAGCTCTTGCTTAGATTACGTTTAAGTTTGTGTTCTAAATAAAGGACATATTTAAATCCAATTTATTATACTCACATATTTTTGCAGAAAAAATGATTTGTAACCGCTTTTTAATTTTGTGCTTGTTACAAACATTCTTATACCATTTTTCTCTTGTATGCCTATTGTACTTTAAAACTTTTACAGTTATACAATAATTGTTATTTATAAAATGCTTGTAATTTTATTAATGAAAATAAACTATAGCTTTATTGTATTGATGGAAATAAAAGAACACAGGATGTTCATACCTCGTATTCTGTGACGTTATTTGACTGTTCTACTCTTAGGTTTTAATGGTTTTTGTCAGGTGCAGAGTATTTCCTAGTATTTAAAAAAGAAGAAAATATAAAATTGTTTTTTTTATACAAGACAAAAGCATCATAACCACCTGTCAGTATGTAACATGTATCCGCTAGTATGCTCTATTTATATTACAATTGATGAAGAAATAATATATTTACAAATGTTTTGTCCTAAGAATGAAGGAGAAAATATTAAATATGTTATGTGTCAAAATTTTATATACGTACCATGTTTGGTATGGCCTTCCTGATAACATTTTGCTTTACATTATATAATTTATAAGACTGAAATATTGTACTTGTTTACACCAGAATCTTAACAGTGTGTATATTATTTTGCTAGAACTAGTTGCTTTTAGGGCTTCCATGGTTGTGTGGTTAAAGTTATTTTGTATGAGAAGGCTAGTAAGAATAGAAAGGCACTATCTGACCTTTACATGCAATGCTGATATGGTTAAAACCTCCATTTCCCACACACAAAAAAAAAACAAATTAAAAGCAATGATGTAAATTTCTGATTTGTAATAAACTACCATATATGTATTACATATATTTTCCATATTTAATATCAACGTACTTTTTTGCAATTCGTAATATATTTGCTTTGTGAAATTGTATGTTTTACTCTTTGCTGTGTCAATAAAATAATAAAGCTATATACCTAGATATGAATCTACATTTAATTTGTATACTTTCTCCTTTTCTCCAGTGACAATTCGGCGTGAAACTATTAAGCTTTCATGGTTATAACTTACATCCAATATCACATTCGTGTAAATGAATACTTCATTCGAGTTAATATTCGCGTCAGGTATCCTAATATAGTCATAACAACATGAACAAAGATACTAGATATTAAAATTTTAGTCCCCTACTGGTTTATCCGTTTTAGATTTCCACTCCGTTTGACTGTCTGTCCGTCCAAAAACTGAATCCCGTGATATAGCAAAAAAGTACCAAAAACATTTTTATGAAACTTGGTATATGGATAAATGGTATCACGTCATGTACCCGGAGTCTAGCATCTTTATTTTAAGATTTATCTCCTCTTTAAATTTAAGAATTTCCTTTATAAAAGTGTAATATTCTTGTAACAACCATCATGGATGTTTAAATGTTAATCCTATGAGTGACTTTTAGTCCGCTTGTTTGTTCATTCCTAAAAACTGAGATAACATTTTAAGAATTTATCCAACAAAAAATTAAAATACTGAGAATTGAAACATTAGTTATACATATTTATCATGAGAAAAAATAGACCTTTTGATTATCTGTTGAATAAACATAATTCGCTTATAATGCAGGACAATTTAACACATTGTTATGATAAAGACAAATTAAACAAGATCAATATGACCTGGACCTTTGACCCCTTGGCCCGAAAATCAATAGAAGTTATCAACTGGTCATGAACAATCATTATACCAATATTGAAGTTCCTAGGCGTAAGCGTTCTTAAGTTACCTACAAGTTTAATGTGACCTAAACCGTTGACACGTTTACCAAACAATCAAGGTCAATGTGACCCCTTGACCCGAAAATCAATAGCGGTCATCAACTGGTCATAAGCTATCATCATACCAATATTGAAGTTCCTAGGCGTAAACCCTATTAAGTTATTGATCGAAAACCGTTTTTATCTACAAGGTCAGTGTGTCCTTGACCTTTGGCCCCAAAATCATTAGGGGTCATGTACCGGTCATGAACAATCATCATACCTAGTTTGAAGTTCTTAGGACTAATCCCGTATATATTGCTAGCAATACTATGATAATTGCTTGTTTTATATTATTATAAAAGATATGTGTGATTTGGCTTATTTTTGTCCAGAACATGTCTCGAAACGTATTTGAGAATTCAACTTAAAAGTTCTATGGTTGACAGATATTATTAAGAAATACATTGACAAAAAAATATAACTCTGCTTTTGAGAAATTGCTCCTTGCTATCTTACATGCTAAAAATCTGGAAACAAAATGATCCCTTAAGAGCATAAATTACAACAAAATTTCATGAAAATTTCAGACTCGGTTTGATTGAGTCTGTACATAAGTGATAATGAATAAGTGTAACATCCCTCACGCCCCCCCCCCCCTATCACGGGCTTGAGCGGTAATCAATTGTCAACACTTAATACTGATGGTTCCAATGATCCCGAAGGGCCAGAACAATATAACAAAATGTTTGCCAAGAACATAGCTTGAAAGGAGTTTGAAATACAAACATGAATGTTTATACGTGGATAGAAATAGGATAACTCTTCACTTATTTTTTTGAAATTATTACCCTTTGTTTCTATATGTGCATAATTTTTATTCAGGCCATAACTTAAATAATTTACTTTGATTGTGCTCACTATCGTTGTAAAATCGTCGTTCATCCAGCATCACACCAACCAGATAAACGATCGACATAAAAAAACGACCATAATGATAATAAAGATAATATAATAATGTTGACTCTTGGTATTTCAAATTTCAAAGGAAAGGGTATTGTAGTTCAAGACAAACGGAATTCGAGTTACTAGATGCTACTGTCATGATGACATCCTTTGTTTATGTTCTGTCTTTCCAAACAGGTTTAGATCAAAGTTTTAAATGTGTTCGTCTTATTTAATTAGTTTTAGAAAATTCAAGAGGTAATGTTGTCACCAATCATACACAGTGACATTTTTGTGTCTAGTAACAGTAAAGCAATAAATTATATTTGAGCCGGACATACTGTACTTGTGGTTCGGAAATCAATTATTTATTATCAAAGCCAAGATACGGAACATGGCAGAAACATGGAATTTTCATGATCTGCATACGCAATATAACAACACTGTATAGGATACTTTTTCGACTTAACTTGAGGAGGAAAAGCTCTGGTGCCCTTCCGTGTAATAATTAAGGCACGAATTGGCACCTGTGTAGATTTACCGGCGTTTTTGTAGAATAGCTGGATAGCAGATTCCAAGATCTCTGATTCGAACCCACTGCAGTGAAGGACAAGTGGTTTGAAGTCAACGACATAAACCACTCGGTTCCTGGCGTCCAAATATTTTATTTACATCAGTGGAAGTTTGTTCCGTAGACATTTTTTTTATATGTGAAACATACCAATGCATCTTCTGACCAGTTTATCCTAAGCAGTCATTTCATTGTTTATATGCATAGACAGAAATGAAGTCCGTATATGAGAAAAACATTTTATCGTAATGTAATCAAAACCAACGCGATTATTATTTTAATTTATTTAACATTATCTTGGTTATTTGCACCTTTTCTGGATAAAATATGCAATCTTATCATATAAAATAGTAAATTTTAAATCATTTCACGATGAAGACCAGAAAAATGCATTTGTCTATAAAATTGATGTCCAAGATATCCACAATTTAGATAGTCATATATTTCACATTCGCTTGAAAAAAACTTTGAGCTAATTGATTATAATTATAGCAGACCCAAAACAAAATCACGTAGCTTCATATAGAAATTCCGATTGAATAAAACCTGAACGCATTATAATGGTGTTGATGACTAAATAAGACTTCTCAATAAGTTGAAAAAATGCTTTCCGATGATATGAATACTGTAAATCCGCAGGTCTGTTCACATAACAACGACGTTTTTATCACAGAATGAAGTTTGTTCATATAGAAAAATAACGTACTGAAGTGGTCCTGTATAACAAGATGACCGGATACAAAATATACTACTCATACTGAGGCAAGTATTGAAGAACGTGTCACGTTATTTAGTTTCTTCACTGTATGTCTATTAGAGATATTTGAAGTGGTACCCCCACATTATTTACTTAGAACTTTAATGAACCTCATATTTTTCTTTTGCCGACATAATTTTGCCGAAAATATTTATAACATTATATAACTCTATGCTTTATTAGATTTTGTAAATATCGAAAATAATAAAAGTACTTGTAGTGGAATCTCGACAAATTTGGATATTATATAACTTTTAAATATACAGTCTAAACTATACAATAGTACACAGTTAAAAAACTCTGAAAATTCTGCATTTGCAATTCATTCTACTGAAATATAGTCACACGTGATAAAAGTATGTCACGTGTGGGTTAACACTTTAACCTTGGAATACCGTTCCGCGGATACCAACTCAATCGGAACCTGTCAACGATAATTCACAATAATCTCAGACTGGAAGTAGTTCTACGAGGTATAGTCAAAATGTTCCCGGACTCTTACGATAACTTTGTTATTTTGTGTATGTTTTTATAATAACATATATCACATTAAAATTTAGAAAAATCGCTGCATGAATATATAAGAGTCAATGATTTTCATAAATGTTACATAGAGGATATTGAATGAGTGTAAGTTCCATACTGAATTTATTGCACGAGTTGAATAAAATTCTATTATGCGAGCCTCTGGCGAGCATAATATTATTTTATTCAACGAGTGCAATGAATTCAGTATTAAACTTACACGAATTTAATTATCTATTTATCACATACCCAAAATAAAGACCGTTTTAAGTGAAATAAGAGTCATTTTTCATTGACGCGCCTAAAGTATAACGCTAACATTAAAATTTTATCGCTTTTTACACTATGTTTGTATAACGCTAATGACGTCACTTCAAAATAAATGCACGGCCGTGCAATACCATATTTACGGAGTTGCAAAATCGGCACGGGTGTGTGATAAACATATTTAACACCCCGTTAAAACTACACACTATGTCACGTACGGAGCACTTCGGCGACGTCGACGACGCTAACGACGTTCAGGTGACGTTCATATTCCAGAAACAACTTACCGTCACGTTCATGCTATTTCAAAATAGTCTTAATTGTGTTCAATACACTTCCTGTGCCGCTGTATCCACTTCCGGAAAATGTCTGCATACCACTCTGGAGTGTAACTTCTTATTGCGGACCTCACATCATATTTGATCTCATTTTCTGTATCAAACCTCCGACCCCTCAAATCTGCTTTCAGTCTAGGGAAAACACAAAAGTCTAAGGGGACGACATCGGGGCTATAAGGGGGATGACGTAGCCGCTCATATCCTAAGAAGTCAATAGTAAGGAGTGTCTTGTTTGCGCGGTGTGCTGGAAAATTAAATTTTCGATGTCGCACCCAGCTCGCTTTTTCTTGATAGCGTTCGTTAGATCCCTCCGCACAACCTGTTATCTTGATGAAAAATTAAATTTTCGATGTCGCACCCAGCTCGCTTTTTCCTGATAGCGTTCGTTAGATCCCTCCGCACAACCTGTTAATAACAAAAATTTATTTTATTTGAAACTACCACAAATACGGCAAATTATAAAAAATAATAGTTTCTTTCACTTTTTGTTATATTTTATATTCTTTTCACCTTACATATAAATAAACAAAGAAATTTAGTAAGAACATTTCATGCGACATAATTAATTACTTACCTTTTGATAGTACTCTTTGTTGATTGTCGCCGATCTTGGCACCGCATGTTGCAACAGCATACCCTGGCTATCCATGAAGAAAATATACCGACTTGCAGGTTTTTGCCTTGTGGGGGAGGGGGGGTGATGAAGGTCGCTTCCACACCATCGACTCTTGTTTACTCTCCGGGTCGTAAAAGTTCGTCCACGTCTCATCCGTAGTGATAATGGGCCTTAGGAATCGTTCGCCGTCTCTATCATATCGCCGTAAAAATTCTCGGGAAGCGTCTACACGGGTTGCTTTGTTTTCATCTGTAAGTAACCTAGGTACCCAGCGGGCGCATACCTTATTCATGTTTAAATCCTTCGTCACTATAATATGTACAGTTCCATGACAAAGCCAAAGCCCGAAGGTGTCTGCGATATCATCAATCGACTTTCTCCGATGTTTGGCGATGACGTCGATCACATCTCGGATTGAGCGCTGATCGTTACCCGGTCTTCCGCTTCGTGCACTATCGGTAATTTCCGTCTGACCTTCCCTAAAACTCTTGTGCCAGTCAAACACAAGTGTCCTAGAACAATTATGAACACCCTCCTTCTGATTCAAAAACTTCCAGGTATCAGTCGGAGTCATTCCAGACATCGCACATAATTGTATTACTACCCGCTGCTCCGTACGTTTTTCTGAGGTTGACATTTTTTCGTATAGAAATTTTCACGTGGCTTGAATAATCGTGCACAAAATGGCGAAACGTCATCCGATCACGCTGAATTTGTGCAGTTGTTTACTAGTAACGTACAGCTGACGTCACGTACAGAAGTCACGACGCTCTGGTGCCAGTATTTTGAGACAATCATGAAAGAGTATTATTCACTTCCAGAAAAATCAAATTAATTCTGAAATGCTCCGTACACGGGTTGCGGGCGAGTTTCATGTGAAAAATAATTTCCAAATATTTACTAAATTGATTTTTTCATACATGTTGCTACTTAAATTAGTTAAAAATACCTTCATAGTAAATTTCATGACAATCGGACGTCAATAATCTTTTTAAACAGACCAGTCAGGGAACTCTTTGACTGTACCTCGTACAACGTGTCTTCAGATGTAAACAAAAAACACATTGTGTTTCCTTTGAATAAAGAATTACGAAAGTATTTATCTGCCATCCATAGGAACTAAAATCTACTTCGATAAAATTATGATTGAAAAGTTATGTCCAACAATTAAACTCAATTAAAGAATGATCATTGTTGATAAATTGTAACGAAATTCGAAACATCGTTAATAGATATACATTTTGTACTTACAGTTTCTTAAAAGCAAAATACTTACAATACAAATAGTGTACTTAATACATTCATAAAATTGCTTAACTTAAGAACAGGCGTTCGACACATTTGTCTGGCCGATGACGGCCAAATCATCGTAAAATAATCTCACATTATCATCAAAAACAAAATTATTATCTAGCTCCAGATTGCTATAATGTAAAAATAAAAAGAATAAGACTAACTCATTTAAACTAATAGGTTTTGAACCTATTTGTTTGTCAACGGATTTGTGTTTATCAAAATATATGAGCCGTGTCATGACAAAACCAACATATTGGGTTTGCGACCAGCATGGATCCAGACCAGCCTGCGCATCCGCGCAGTCTAATCAGGATCCATGTTGTTCGCTTAAAACCCTATTACTAGTAGAGAAACTGATAGCGAACAGCATGGATCCTGATCAGACTGCGCGGATGCGCAGGCTGGTCTGAATCCAAGCTAGTTGCAAACCCACTATGCTGGTTTTGTCGTGACACGGCTCATATATTTATATACTCATGCAGTTTTTTTTTCAATAGCTGCCACGCTGTAATTGTAAAACGTTGACTATAACGACAAAGGGAATTAACTCTTATTCGAAAAACATAGCAGCTTTTTTTAATTTGTTAAATTTGAAGTCGGCGGCACCGATAGTGAAAGAAGCGGCATTTTTGAGCAGCTCACTCAAACCGAGCGTGCAACAACTTAATTTTTTGTCGTTATTGCGCGTTCTTTAGAGTTTCTATTTTTCTGCATTTTATGGGTTTCATGTCATCAACAAAGACGTAAGTGAGATCTGATCTAGCGACCGATACTTTCGACCTAATCGGCGGTTATCACAAGACCGTTGATTAACCCGGTCGTACGCCCTCAGACGCAGCTGAAAAATGAGTCAATGTTCAACAAACAAAGTATAAAAAGGATTATAGTATTATCATGTGTCTAAGGCAGCAGTTAACCCACTTTAGATGTCTGATATAAAATAAGAAATTTAAAACAGTCAAAACCAAATTAAAAGCATGTATGTTTCCCAAAATCTTCTTGAAAACAAAATATTTGAATATTAACATTGACCTGCAAATGAGAAATTGACCTACAAATACTAGAATGATAATAAGTTTATAAAAAGCAGAAAACTGTATTTAGAAAAAGCTAACAATACCGTCTGTCTACAGTGCAAGTATGGTTTATGAATGTAAATTATAATTGAAATCACGTTTTGCATGAGATTTTACCAAATATGGTAATTATAACGGGTAGCGGTTTATATATATACCCTGTATGAACGTGTTATAGTCATTTGAAGTCAGATACAGGAAGAAAACTAAATTGGTCAGTTAAGTCATGAAAGATGGTTCTAGCGGCCATGTTTGGCGTTCACATTATCTGGACAATTTGGTGGAGACAGGAAATAGAGCTAGCCTTTTAGAACCTGGAGGTAAGTACCCGGAGCTTCAGCAATTGAAAATATTTCTTAATTAAGAAATTATCTAAACACTCAGATGAAGGACTTTACAAAGAACTTTAATTTAAAAATACATGATACTTCTTTATTCAAGGTCAAGAAAGAAGCTTATCGCATTCAGTATAAGTTTGATCTTGATATTCTTCGCAGTTATGAAGTGGCTGATGACGATATATGCTATTGATATATACCGAAATTTTTGAAATACTGTTCAGTGTGATTACCAATGTCAAAATAGAAATGCTAATTAAAGTAGCTGATAGTTCCCGAGAGGGCTGTTTTACCGTCAATACATATGAATGATAGATTCAGGTCAAATTCAAATAAGCGCTTAACAATGGATAGCATCAGAAGAAGTTCAAGTTTAGACAGCTCCGCAGATAAACGAACATATAAATGATAAGTATTTATTCAATATGCTTCGAATATCAAAAATCTTTATCTTTACCAGCAGATAACAGTACCTTTGTTAAAAGTCGTGTAAAGCGGTATTATTCTTAATTGAATGACATTTTTTATTTCTTATGTAATTGACATAATTGAAAATGGTTATAAAATTTCATTTCTTTATATGCCTGAAAGGTCGTTTTAACATAATCGATCAGCTTTAGAAAACTTTGGATTTATAGATTCTGTTGTTGAAGAACTTGTTCAAAACAAATGTGTTATTTAAACTCCTTTTATGTCTCACATAGTAAAACTGCTTTCTGGTTCTATCAATAAGCAAGAAAAAAAGGGTATATATTTAGTTAAAGTTTAGTAAATTAATATCTTTTGAAAGAAAAATTTTCCTTTGAGGATAATAAAAATGCTTCGAAGTAATGTGAAAAAGATTATTTTTCTCATAAATTTGACATCAGTTAAGCTTATCACCATATTGATATTTTTATGAACGTCAAATTTTCCTTGGACTAAGGTTAAACCTTAAAAGGCTTTTCTGATTCACAGTCATGTGTGCATGCATATAGTGCATGTTGTTGTACCAAACTTGATTTTCACGTAAAATCCTTCAAGTAATTTTACTGTGTTTAAAGTTTAATATCTACAAAATCATTGGTTTTGAAAAATAAATTCGCTGATAACGGCCTTGGCATTGGTGAAGGGCAATTTATATTTATTTAAACTGAAATAGCGGGAAGTAGTTGTTAGTTTTAGAAGAATAAAAAATAAAGTTTTAGCTAGTTTCGTGACGTCATGTCTTTGCCTTTCAGGGCGTTGATTAAACGGCACCAAGGCGCTTTGGACAATGGCCCTTTTTATTGTGACCTCTTATTGTGTAATAGCCCTAGATAATGCATTTATTTTACATTATGCAAAAAATATTTCAGCAGTAAAATTTAAACTTAGACAATTTTGTTCAAAAATATAATAAGGATGTAAATGTGCGGTTATCCTGTTATCGTGTCGTTAAACGAGAAGAACGCTTGAACATTTATTAATGGTACTTCAAATAGTCATAACCAATGATAAGCTGTAAATTGATTGAACATGTTTAAAATTGACAGTTTGTACAGATGAACAGGTAACGGCAATGCGGCAGTGTATCGATCCAAGAACACTTTTTGTTTTGTGCTGTTCAAGCATCGAAACCAACAACAACAACAACTACATGATCTATTACAACACCGACAACAACTACATGATCTATAACAACAACAACTTTTTGTGAATAAAGGCGGTGACTGAGATAAAATCATGTCTGTCCACAGGTTTATACAAGTTGGACTTCGAGTATCTTAAGATAATAATAAAGTACAATGTACTAGTATTTGAAATATGTCGTGCGGTTACTTGTCTCCAAAATAAACCGTCATTCTGATAACAGTTACGGTGAAAGTCGGATGGATTAATTTTTTCTTTATATCATAAACATAATTTGCACAGGAGCAGATCGAGGTAGGATTATTTAATTTCTTAAGCAGCTTATTTTCACCTTTTTTTATATTATTGTATAATTAAAGGACTGCAAGCTCTGTGGTCTTTTCTGATCTCGTACTGTATATGTAATGTATGTATTATACTGTATAAGTATATTTTATGTACTATAATTCATCTTACAGAGCACTAGATGCAGCGACTGCGTTTAGATTTTTTACTTTAACAGTTTATGTTTGATACATATTGATTTTTGCATGACTAGAGTTGTATCAAAAAATCATTGATGTTCATTTTTTTATGACAGCCACACTTTTTCCTTGCATATCGTGGCTACTTCCTTAAAAAGACACTTATAATAAAAATATAAAAAATTGTTGCCTCGAATGGGAATTTAACCCCAGACCTCTCACGACAGCGCTTCCCCTGCACTACGGGGAAGTTATACGAGGAAAGCCTGAATAAAATCAAATAATTCTGAATTTGGAATTTCCATTTCGGGTTTGTAATCATTATAAATGTCGAGGTATTTTGTTCACGATATACCTGTTGTTTAACCTAATATAAATAATTTAGCGAAAATCTTCTCGCCAAAACAGTCCGACATGTATATATTCCACTACTCGACAGTCAGATTTATTTGTGTATTATTTATGCTCTGAAGTATTCGGTAATTGACATCTCTAAAATAGCAATTTTATTGATTAAAATGATATTCATCCGCGTAATTTGTGATTGTGCATTATTGACAATTCTATAAGCCAACGCTACTTTCAAACTTTGAATGCGTTGTAATTTGTTAGATACTTTTAACCAAATTAGAATATTTATTTCTTTTACATCGTTTGTTTTAATCTGTTTTGAGAATTCTGTGCAAGATACTGAATGTCAGCATTGTATTTCCTGATCTGCGATCAAAAAATACAAAAAGTATCATGTACTAAGAAAACAATGATTTCCTTAACGTTTTGAACTGCCTGAAAGCTGCATATTATATCATTTTCTGCCTACACTTATTATAAGAAAGCCTTTAAAATGATTTTCTCTTTGTTCGACAAAAATAATTTTCTGTTTGTTCGACATTGTTTATTAAAGTTACATTAAATAAATTTCATAATAATCGAAATAGCGACATTTCATTAATAAATTGGGTTTCATATCGACTTCAGATCTTATTTTGGTGTCCAGGCAACCAAAATGAGTTTAATGAGCATATAAATGTGCAACCTCATTGTGGCGAATTCGGAAGTACAATTTCTGTTTGCATGAGAAACTCCGCCTTCAGATCATCCGTACATCAATATTAAATCAACAAACATGACAATAAGTAGCAGTTCTAATTTAACGGTATATTTCCGCATTGTAACGGATATTTTCATACAAATTTAATCTTTTTTATGAGATGATTATTTTTTCTGAACCACAGGCCTAGTGCACCGAGAAGCTTAAACGGTAAAAGTGTGTTTGCACAAGAAAATCTTATATTTGCTGTGTTCCGGATAGCAACTATAACTCCGTGATGTAGCGCATACACGAGCTGATTATAGTCTTCATTTGCACGTTAAAATTCGTATACGAACTTTAGTGTTATACCGTGGGGTTTTCCATTTAAAATCCTGATTTATGAACAATATTTGATGAGATTTACAACGATACAGTTAAAAAGGTTAATGAAACTGTAGAATGCTTGGTTTTTAGGCCTACGGCAAAAATATTTTAACATATTTATTTAATGCAGCTTTAATGATACATTGTTTTAACTTTCAGTTGAACTGATATATAATAAAACATGGAGTGCAACATGAGTGACTGGAAACCAGAATATGCCTTAAACTACCTTGTTCAACAAGTAGAAGAGCAGTCTAGCTTGTGTGACGTTACGGTCAAAATGGGATATTGGGTATGATGTTAAAATGATTGATAAGTGATTGAATATTATTTGTATAAAAGACGGTCACGGTCACGCAAGTAAGACATTACATAGATATTAACAGCTGATACAGTTTATTTATAACTCAATAAGAATGGCTGTTTGATGAAGTACTTCATATTGATTAAACAAAAGAAACATGCAAAATGTCAAGAATTCCCTTTAGAATGTGTACATTGGTGTCCGTAATATCTTGTTTACAATTAGATCATATGCAGTTATTTTAATGATGACAGACATTGACTATGTACATACAGCTATGTTTTATTTGTTCTGTATGCATGACTATTTCATCAAGTGACGTAATTAAAACTATTAAACTTGATCTGTCAGTTCCATTCTATTTTTCCTTTCATTCTAAGAAAGAATATCGCTGTACCAATACGTTTCAAGAAATTGAGCAATAAACAACCACATTAACAAAAAATTATCATTAAACGATAAATAAATGAATTAAATAAACACAAAATAAAAAATACAGTCCAGATTACGTCATTCAAATAATTAAAGTTATCACATAAACTAAAGCCATTTATAATTAAAACGAAGTACACAAGTGAAAGACGTCATTTGCGTAATAACCAAGCGTTATTTAAAGGACGCTCATGTTGTCATAATACTTTTGTTGCGCCAATAAAAAATGACTTTTTACTGAAAACTGTTATATAAGTATATATAAAAAAAGGATATTTATTCGTAGAGAATCACTACTATAACTTTAGAGGTTTTCATAACATTATTTTAATCAACTTTGTCAATAAAATAAGTAATAAACCTACTCATTCATATATTCTCTATTGCCATATTCTGAATTGTATTTTTCTGCTGAACTCTCGCAATTATAACATCTTTAATATAATCTACAAAATACGTTAGGCATTTACACAGAATGCCATTTTTGTGTTGTTGATTTTGTTTTGTTGTTTTTTTTAATAAATAAATAAGCTTATCTTTATTTACATTAATAACATTTTGCACTGCAAATAAAATTCAAATCGTTAACACATGTAGAAATATACATAAGATGTGCTTTAATATGGTTGGATTGATATACATAAACAAATTATAAATAATTACTTAAAATATTTATTATGTAACCTTTCCTGAAAGTCTGTACAATTTCAGTTTAGATTCAGTACTTTTTAGTATTTTAGTAATGAACAGGAAATTCATTCAATTATCCATATTTCAACAGGAAAAGAAATTCCATCGATGTGTTCTTGTGATAAGTCCATTCTTCGACCATATTCTAAATGACAACTTCCTAGAAAAGCAAAGAGGTAGGTATCTTTTACACAACTGATTTATTTGAAGCCTATGACAATAACGTAGTGTCAATAGTAAAATGGTGATACTATAATTATCAATGACAATCAAATGCATGCTTGTTGATTTGAATTGACTAGGCATTCGAGACTTTGATTCATATTTCTCAGAAGCAACTGTTTCAATATTTTACCATTTTAGCACATTTTTGTTATTATAAAATTGTAAGAACGGATAAATACGCAAAGTCTACTGTTAGTTTTTATAATGAACATATAGCTTAAGAAGCTAATAACCGCATTGTTCTATAAAAGTTTACATGAGAAAGTTTTCAGATGTTCATCTCGACCTCAATGTTTGGTAAATGTGTATTTTAAAAGTTGGCAATGTAGGGCTTTTTGCATTTGGAATAATATAAAGAATTGAATACAGTAATTATGTCATACTTTTAATTTAAGGAGAAATTAAAATGACAATTGGTACACCTGATTCGCTTCAAACAGCTATAATGTACCTTTATGGAAAGAAACCGAAATTAAGTCAAGAAAATATCGAGAATGTTCTAGAGATGGCTGAGTTCCTTCTAATTCCAAATCTAAAGGCTGCTTGTATAATCTGGCTCAATTCAACGGTGATAACAGAGGACAACTGCTTGGAATTCCTCCAAATATCCAGTATTAACGATTTTGAAATCGAAAGATGTGTAGATTTTATCGAAGAGAACTTGCCAGAAATGCTTGATCATCCTCTTATGATAAATCTTACACAAGAATCGGTACAAATGCTGTTTTCCGATAAACGGCTATCATACGTACCAATGGACAACAAACTACTGTTTTTATTCAAATGGTCAGAAGCTGTTAATTCAAGAAAGGTACATTTGACGGAATTATTGACGACCATTAATTTTAACGAAGTCAGCAACTCGCTTATGCAAAACCTTACACATAAATATGCTGATTTTATACAAATAGATCGTAATTCTCCCGTCGTAGAAAATCAACAGGTCCTTTTTATGAAAGGATATGACATGAGTTTTAAAACATGTAATACGTTCTGGTGTTTAGATTTGGAAAGAGAGCAATGGTTCCGCTTTAATTCTGAATCATTCATAAAAGAAAGGTCTGACCTTTATAAAAACATTTCCGGAACATGTTCGACCGCTTCCGGACCAGTAGTATTGTTCTCGGATGGAGACTTTCAGCTATCAAGAATCTTAATGCTTAATTTACAAATAGATAAATGCACAAAAGTGAATATAAAGGGAAAAGACGAAAGTTTCAGAATTACACGTAACGACAATTTTAAAATTTGCGGAGATTTATGTGTTGCGTCCTTAAACGAACAAAATACAATACACAAGAAATCTAAGAATAATTCTGTAATCAATTACTTACGAACACAAGGACTTCCAAATAATGTTATGACGAGACGGTCATCGACAGACAGGCTTATGGCAATTCAAAAAACACTTCGTGAAAGAACAATTCATATTAGAACGTCAACCTTGTACATTGGATACATTGCCGATGGAAATGTGGAAATGTCACCGAGTCTCTCTTTCAAAGACGATGAAATACACCGATTACTTATAAGTGAAACTGCAATAGCTATAATGTTCAAGTCACAGAAATATGTCGCAATTGACGATCTTGGTGAGTGTAGTTTATTGAAAATAGAACAATCAACTAGCCATGAAGACCACCTTGTTCAATTTGAAAATGGATTTTTGATTCATGATAATACGAGATGCATCAGCTTGACGAGAGCAAATGGCCCATATCATTCAAATAAATATGAAGTTTGTGAAATTCCATTTGAAAATACTGAATTTAAACATATAGTTTACTGTTTTAAAGGCCAGATGTGGTACCGTTACCATCGCAAAAGCTACCACGAGGGCCCTGGTGTTTTGGAAACTGTTCCATGCCATGCAGTGCTACGACGAAAACTTAAGGAATCTTTATCATGGAAACAGTTACCATTGCCCCCAAAAGCATATTATTTTGAAAACATTTTTTCGAGCGAATGTTTTTCAATGTTTCTTCCAAAATCTATGCTTCGTTGTGACATAAGTTGTCCTCACTGCGAACCAAGTACTAGAACAGACAAATATCCGTATTCTATAGTTTATGGGTTAATTAACTTCATCGATGCCCATTGGCCTGATGACGATCCATTGGACAATCTAATGAACTATAATGCGGACTTTTGTTCATATGATTAAATTTTAAAAGAAAAACATTCGCGCAGTCTGAGAGAGTCGGTTAACTGTTGTAAATATCTTTGACGTATTGGCAAATAAGATTCACGTTGTACAACTTACAGATGTATTCTGACTGAATCGAAAACGTATATACTTAAATTAACATAAACATCATTGTTGCAATTTATATCCACTTATTTTGTTTTTATTTACCAAGGTGTAAAGCAACGCTCTGTTGGTATTTATTCCGGTATAAATATTGCGACTTTGGATTTGATAAATCTCTAGGGACGGATATTTCTATCTGAACCGCAAACATATTTCAGATATTTATTCTTGCATATATGCCATATTCTTTCATATTGAAAACTGTTTACTTCAGTAAGATATTTGTTCATTGAAATTTATGACGTGTTATATACAGCTAAGATCGGAACTAACGTCAAAAATAGTCTGGCACTTCCATATATGGTACCGTATTTGTCACTAGCATAATAGTAGTATGATTTTTTTACTCGCAACGTTGGAAAATTGATATCACGCGAGACCGAAGTAGCGAGATATCAATTTTCCACCGTTGCTCGTAACAAAATACTAAGCCTCAGAAAAATACTACAACATAATTTCCTTATATCTTGTGATGTCTTACATAATTTAGGAATTTTCACATGATATTATTTTATTATAAATATGTTACACTCAATTTGCTATGCAATACTAAGTTTCTCATCCAGCAGAAGAACGAGCAATCGAACCAGTGGGATGTTACAGTAAAAGTTGGACTATAGATAGGCTGTTTATCTTACGATATACACGCCTTTTAACGCCTTTTTCATCCCCCCTTACTTGTTGTCTCAAATGGTGAAAAAATGCCTTATTTTGCCCCCAACACTTGTTTTTGTTTGAGAAATGTTGTAAAAAAAGTGACCACTTTTCGGCGCGGCCCCCATCCAAAAGATACATCAGGGGGGTTGCCAGAAGGGGGATGTGCTAACTTCTGTTTGGGGGGTTTGAAGGGGGCGGCAGTCTCCCTAATCGCCAAGACAATTTTGGACGTGTGAGAGGCTAAAATGACCCCAGATCAATTATAAGGTAACTTGTTACCAACGCTGAAAAGCATTTGACTCTATCTCAATCCATTGAGAAGTTGCAGCACTTTGAAATCAATTTTGATGTAAAAAATCAACGCAAAATAGTGATTTTTGGCAATTTTGAGATGTCCCCTCGTTGCCATGGTAACAGAAAATTTAAGCCTGAGCATGTTGTTGCAAATGCAATGGTCCAGTCAACATTTGTGCCACGTTTGATAAGTATTGAAGCAGTTTTTATAGTTTTATAACAATCTGAACAATTTGAATCTTGAAATATAGTAAATCAGGCAAATTATACACTTCCGTGCATTTCTTCAGTAATTAGTACTTATTTTCAAATTTGTCGTTTTAGACTTATTTTAAAGGTGATCTATATTGATTCAAAATAATTCTACTCTGTCAATTAACGAAATTAATTTACTTAACCGAAAACATATCGATTCCCATTTTCGATAAACATTGATGTAGAAAATCTAACTTAATTCCTAACTTTACCCAATAATATGATAATATACTCTCTTGACATTAACTTACGGTAACTTAATATTACCTGATATACGTGTAACTGGGTTTGAAGAAATAATCATTGAACCAGACCTTGTAAATTGTCAAATCGAAACGTTACACTTTCTTTTTGTTTATTCAATTGTTTGATAAATGATCGTAGCCTCTTAGTCCCATAAACACATACTTATATTGAAACTTAACTTTTATTAAATACTGTTTTATTTATTGATAGTTCTACATAAGGTTTAAAATATTCTTAAGGTAAATTTAGCTATAACGCAGTAAATAGCAGTCTTATTTATACGGGACAGAATTTAGACACTTACCTTGCTTTCATAACGCGCCGATTAATACGTGCCGATTTATTGTTCTTCACAAAATTTAAAACAATTATTGATTGATCGAAAAGATTGAAGTCAAAGTCAAAGTCAAGTCAAAATTCCTTTATTACACATATTTCATGTTAACATGAATAAATGTGGTTAGTAATAGTAGAGGCTCTTTAAGCATAAGTACAATGTATATATAATTTGAGTGGTAAAATAATTCGTAAAAAAAGTATGTGTTCGTATCATTTGCTGAACTGCAGTTCAAGAAGAATGAATCAAAACCACAAATTGTTAAATTTCTTAGTACATATGTTACCACAAAAAACCGTGGAGACTCACGTAATTTAGACACTCTCTAAGGGTATAATTTCGTTATATATTACCTTTCTTTTTATTTATTGACAAACGATGAGAATACTTACAAAAAAAAAAAGAAAAAGAAAAAATAATATAAACAACTGACAAGTGATGTACAATTATGTACGACATAATATTTTAAACCTTTACAATGACATTTCTAGACTCGTACTTAAAAGCTAAATGAAAAAAGTGTCATACTATTTAGACAAAAATATAACAAACAATCACTTTACTATGGGTAATAAAAGATTAATCTGTGAAATATTTGTGTAATAGTCTTGGAATTTAAGTAATTCTTGGAATGTAAGTACTCACATAAGAGGTTAATACTAATTTATTTAATATCTTAAAATTATTGTTTTAACAAATTTACATAATTTCAAATATTCGCTCTCGTTTTCTGCGTTAATTAGTTGTTCTAGCTTAAATGTATTTGTGCGTCTGTAATAATAGGGTTTCAAAAATGTCTTTCTTTCATCTTTTAGCAAAAACGTTCTTGAATAAGTAATGAAATTCATCGCCTATTTTATTGTTACAAAAGGTACATGTTCTTTGGTTGATTGGTATTCGGGTCCAATTTCCGGTTTCTATTGGTAATCTATGGTTATGTTTACGAAATTTTTTCATGCAACGAAGAAAATGTTTAGGAGTTGATAAAAGGTATTTTTCGAATTTAAATTCTTTTTTGAATATTCTGTAGAATGAAGTTTTGCTAGAGTTTTCAATAACGGACTACCAATCAATTAGAAAATATCTTTTTGTTTCTGTCTAATTGCTAATTTCAACCACTTCTCGTTTCCGAAATTTTGTGTATCCCATATATTACATAAACCGCAATTTATAAAAAATTGTCTTAAGTTAGCAATCCAAGGAAATTTCTTTCTCAAATTACATTCACTTAAGTTTAATGGAAGATTATATGTAATATTGTATAATAGAGACGGCAATTTCTTTTGATGATTATTTACATCGTGTTTTTTTTAATCTAGCCCAAAACATGATTATTCTTTTATTTATACCAATAGATAGCGGCAGGCAGCCTGTTTCTCCGTACACCATATAATTTGTGGTGGACCGTTTCATATTTAAAATATAAATAAAAATTTTAATTGGACTCGTTCAATCACTTCTCTATTACCATTTCCCCATATGTCCGCCCCATAAAAAAGAATAGGTTTTATTGTTTTATTAAAAAATCTATTTGGATATCAATTGGTAAACTAAGTTGATTTGAGTTTTTGTTATTAAACTATAAATTGCTCTAGTAGCTTAAAATGCTATGTGCTTTTTAGTTTTAGTATATATGATCCACTTTTACAAAATAAAACTCCTAGATACTTGTCATCCGTAACTACCTCTAATCTTTCGATGTTTACGAAAAAAATAATAGTTTTGTTGTCGTCCTTTAGAAAATACGACGATTTTAGATTTCGATGTATTTACAGTGAGTTTCCATGTTTTACAATAATCTTCATACAAATGTAATGATTTTTGAAAATGTCCGACCGATTCAGATAAAATGACAGTGTCATCAGCATAAAGTAATATAAATATCTTTAAAAAATCACGAATTTCGTCTGTGTTTTTGTCATTTTGTACCGTGATTCCCATATAATCCCAGCACGATAAACAGAACTTTCGTCATGTTTATTAATAGTATGGAACAGTCTATTTTGAAGCTAAAAGGGTAAATGAAAGGTAGCACTCCAGACTGATTAACCAATATATTGATAAAAGTTATAGATAGAAGAAGTTGCCGTAATAGCTCAATCGGTAGAGCACTAGAATCACAAAATGTTTTATGTCACAAGATTGACAATCTCTTACAGATACACATTTTTTATCTAGCTTTGTGTTGTTTTTTTCTCACCATTTATGAATAGTAATATGAATGTGATTATTTAAATTTGATTCATATATATATTTTTCGTTTTTTTATGATTATTCTACTTTCAAGCGAAGTGTCTTCAATTTTCTATTTTTTTCCATAAAAATGTATTTCAAGATATGTAATAGATACAATAAATACAACATTTCAAATTGTATCTGTCATATCTGTTGTTTCACCGGTTTCTGAGGCTGTGTCGGTTTCATCGTCACTGTTATCACTGCTGCTGCTATCGTCGGAAAATGAAATGACAACAGGGTCTTATTCGTCTTGGATGCTTTCAATTCTTCTATCTTTTCAACATAGCTACAGCACTCGACCCAATGCTCAGATGTTATGGATGTTTCAGCTTCGGTAACAATGTCTTGTACATCTGATAACCGAAAGTTCAAGTTCCTCCGACCAACATATCCTTTGAGCTGTGACCACTCTCGCCGAAAAAAATCAAAAACGTTTTCTATAATTTGTCGAGGCTCAAAATGTTTCAACATGTTGTCGGGATAGTATTGAAACAGAGATAATATATTTAACGAAACTTTTGTTCAGTTATATACATGTATATGTAAAATATTTTTACCCGGGATATTCTCGTTCCTTGCTTTGACCTGTTTAAAGCTGCGTCATTTTGTCTTTGTGTTATTTCAGTTATATATTCATATGTGTACATTGTCAAACTGATATTTATGTGTTTTACAGTGAATATAGAATAAAAAAAGGAAAAAGTTCCACGAGGTTTCGAACCCACAAGTAATTTCTTTTGCAGAGGTGGCTCAACTTACTACGCTTTAGAGTCAGTTGAAGTTATATTGTCTTCAAATACTATCTCTATATCTTTAATGGAAATACTTTGGTTAATCACCATAAGTTTACCTATGTTTATCTTTTCATGGACTATGCTTCTATTTTTAGACATGAGGAAAGTTCTGTTTATCGTGCTCGGACTATAGTGTCATTACTATTTGCAAACTAATCGCTAAGGTCATTCAAAAACATTGAAAAAAGTAGAGTGGACAAGTTCTTTCCTTGACGTACGTCTATGTTACTAGGGACACAATTTGAAACTTCAAAGTTAATTCTGACACACGATTTAATGTTATCGTACATGTTTTTAATGAGATTTAAACATTTTCCTGTTATTTTAAAATTAAAGAGTTTTTGCCAAAGACCATTTCTCCAGACTGTATCAAAGGCTTGTCAAGTTCATTCATGTTGGGGTAGACACGATCTTTTGCAAACACTATTTCTTCGAAGTAC